TGTTGTTGTTATGTGCCATCGAGTCGGACCCGACTCATAGTGACCCCTCCTTGGGTTTCCGAGGCAGTATCACTACGGAAGTAGATTGCCCCATTTTCCTTCTGAGGAGTGGCTGGTGGGTTTGAACCGCCAGCCTTCTGGTTAGCAGTCAAATGCTTAGGCACTACACTAATTGAATTGGGTCTACAGTCCTGTGAGGCAGAATCTTCTTGGCTTGGTTGGCTGAGACTGTTCTTGGGGATACCTTGCTGAGAAAAAAATGGATCCACTGGTGATGAGGGGGTGGTAAGTACTCTAGTCCAGGCCTACTCTTCAGTGACACACTACATCATTCTATAGTCAAGGGCTCTAAAGAGTGTAAGTCTACTCCTTGAATAACTCTTATATTTAACCTTTTCACCATGTCTCTAGTTCAGACCCTCGTAAGTTAAGGTTAACTGGTCTCTGCCTTTGTTGTTGTAATGTGCCGTGGAGTCGGCCCCGACTCATAGTGACCCCTCCTTGGGTTTCCGAGGCAGTATCAATACAGAAGTAGGATTTCCCAACCTTCCTTCACTAGGAGTGGCTGGTGGGTTTGAACCGCCAGCCTTCTGGTTAGCAGTCAAGTGCCTTAGGCACTATGCTATGGTCTCTGCCTTTAGTATGTCCTAAAGTGAATGGAACCTGTCTCCACATTAACAGTCAGGTAGTCTTTCTAGACAGCATTTTGGATCATGTCACTCCCTTGCCTCCATAGCACTCCACTCTCTATAGGATAAAGTTCCATTATCTCAAAAAGGTCTAGAAGGCATGGTACCATCTGGCTCCTGGATACCTCTCTGGCTTTGTCTGTCTCTCTTGTCTCTTGCCACTTTTTTAAATTGTGGTGAAAACATACACAACGGTACATTTATCTTGCCACTTTCCATGTTGCTTACTGCAAGTCATACCAGCTACTTACTTGGAGTTATTGAATGTATCATCTTGTTACACACTTCAGGGCTTTTTACAAGTTGTTTCTTCTTCCTGAAATGCTTCTTTCCCTTCCCTCTCCATTTCTCCTCCCTAGTCTGGAGGACTCCTACTCATCCCTCAATACCCCAGCTCAGCATAGCTTTCTGATACCTCGAAGCAGAGTTAACTGGCCTCTCCTCTGTGCTTCTCCCTTACAGGCCTCTTATTGCCCATCGCCCTGTGCTAGAGGTCTTTGTTTGCACATTCATCTCTCCTGTTTTGTTTGATGTCACCACAGTCCTGGGAGTACATCAGTTCTCAACAAAGTTTTTTGAGCTCTGGGATAGAAATCCCTTAAAACATTTTTTGACATGTGTTTTTAGTGAAGAAAGTTTATTTGCAAAATGTTGTGGCTGCATAGGGAACTTCTTGCTGGCCTCAGATTCTGGTGATTGCTTCCAAAAGGCCACAACCTTGAAAACCCAATGGAACAGTTCTAATCTGCATATGTGGGGGTCCTGTTTGTCAGAATCGACTCAGTGGCAACCAGTAACATTAAAACAAATAAATAAAAGTCAGAGGGGGCACTTAACCAAGGCTAGAAAGAATGGTACCAATGTATAGGCCAGAGGCAAATACATTTAAGAAAGCTAAGAAACTTTTCTCCCTTTAACAAGTGCCAAAACCCGGAGAGGTAATGTGCCTTGTCCAAGGAGGTAGAGCTAACATATGGGTATCCTAATTCTACTTTATCCCCATATACCAGGTGACTGTGTGCCCTAAATTCTACTGTCCTTATCAGGGATCAGAGCTCTGATCTTGAATGAGGTTTGCTCCTTAAACTACAGAGACTTTTGGACAAAATGAAGGCAAACAGAAACTTTAATACCAGGCCACACCTGGCATGGTCCTTAATCTCTGCCTTGTGGGCAGATTCCTGGCAGGAAAAGAACTTGAAGACTACTCCAGGGCATGAAGTATAGCTTTGCGGGGCATGGTTTTCCCAGATTGCTCTGTATGGGGCAGGGACAGAGATTAGATTTGAGCTGATGTTTATAGAAATCTGTTATCAAAGGAGCCCTGGTGGCTCAGTGGTTAAAGTGCTCAACTGCTGACAGGCTGGTGGTTGGAACTCACCAGTCACTCTGCAGGACAAAGATGTGGCAGTCTGCTTCCATAAAGATTGGTCTTAGAAACGCTATGGGGCAGTTCTAGTCTCCTATAGGGTCGTTATGAGTAGGAATCAACTTGACGCAACGAGTTTGATTTTGGTTTTATTACAGTCAATTCATACTCCAGGTTCATGGCCTCCATGCTGCACTTCCACCAATCACTCCACTCCTAGTGGTGGGCCATAGCTACTGACAGTTCCCCCAACTCTCCAGATTCTGCCTCCATCAGGAGTGGAGAGCCCTACCTCCCCTAAACATGACCAGCTTGAACAGCAAAGTCTCTCAAATTTATCCTCCAAAGTTCCCTGGAAGCAGGAGAGTGTGAACATATCTCTAGGGGGCTGGGAGAGAGTCTGCTGTTGGCACAAACTTTCCCTGAGGTATCCCATTTTGTAACATATGAACTTTACATTCTATACCGCAATAGTGTTTTAATAAAATATTTTTCCCTTTTGAGAATGATGCTGAAGCAATGTGAGCTGGGCCTCTGCTGGGACTTCAGTACCCAAACCCCCACCCCCCCCCAGGATAGCACTGCAGGCCACTCCACCGTGCCACTGGCAGTATACAAGCACTATAGACTTTATTATCTCATTTATCTTCATGTCTATTCTGTGAGGAGGCTGGTTTTATTATCCCAACTTTAGCATTTGATTGCTAACCAGAAGGCTGGCAGTTCAAATCCACTAGCCACTGGCGGTTCAAATCCACCAGCCACTCCTCGGAAGGAAGGTTGGGCAATCTACTTCCATAGTAATACTGCCTCGGAAACCCAAGGAGGGGTTGCTATGAGTCGGATATGACTCTAAGGCAGTGAATTTGGTTGGTTTTAAATGAAAAGGCCCAAAGCCCTCTGAAATAAAGTTATTCATTGGTCTGATGGGGTGTTCCCTTCCCCAACAAAATCCAATCATAATCAACCCCAAATTTTCACACCTTCCATCAAGTCTCCCTCTTCCTCACGGCAGCACTCAAACAAAAGCCAAGGGCTTCTCCACTACCCTAAGAAGTTCACCCAGCTTAGCACATAAGCTGGGGTACCCCACACCAGGTAAGCAGCCCCAGAATCTTGTTTTGGGTGCCTGGCTCCACTCCCTGTGGCAGAATAGGAAGGGCAAAGATTGAGTACCAGGAAATCTGGCCTTCCTGTAATTGGCTGTGTGACCTTGGGAAGTGCCTTGCCCTCTCTCGGGCTTTAGTCTCTTCATCTGAACAATGAATGGGAGACTATTATTTCTGCTTTGGTAAAGATTTTTGTTCCAATATCCCAGATTCTACTTCCAGGTACATTCTACCCTCAAGTTTTTTGTTTTTGTTTTTTTTTTAAAAACCAAGAAAGTCTAATACTATGAATTTCCCTTTTCTTTATAAAAATGTCCATAACAACATTCTAAGGCCCCAGTTTTTTAAACAAGGCAGCTGTAGTGTTCACCACTCTTTCTCCATTCCCTTCTTCCTGTGACACACACCTAGTTCAGAGATGTTCAGGGACCCCTGGGACTCCATTAAACAGCTGGATCCCCACACAGCTGGAGGGCTCTGCATGCCAAACGCTTCCCTTCCCCCAGAGTCTATGTTAAGGAAGGTATTACCTGTTTTTCAGTATGATTGAGTTGCCCTAGAAAATGGTTTGAGGCTACAGAAAATGCCAAGGGGTGAGAATTACTGGAATTATGAGCTGCTCAGCTCTGGGGCTCTTGATGTCAGTCCTTCCTCTTCACTTGTGGGGTTACCAAGGACAGCAGTACCTGACGCTATTCCAGCCAGAGGAAATTCCACCCCAGTGGCCTCAGAGACCCATTTGATAGGTGAAGCCACAGGTTTGGCATTAGATAAACCTAGGGTGGAATACTGGCTCCATGGGGAAGTAACTTAACTTTCTCAGGGCCACGGTTTCCTCATTTGTACCCATTGCAGAGGGCTGTTACAAGAGAACCCATGTTAATCACAGCACAGCCAGTGTCTAGAATACTGGAATTTTCTAAATGGCAGGTCCTAATCATAATCCCAGAGGGCTTCCTATGGGGCCAAGTTGCTGGGGTGGGGCTGAGGTACAGATGTGACAGTAGGGGAGCCCTCTTGCCAAGGAACTTACAACTAGGGGCCTCAGTTTCCTCATCTTTAAAATGGAAGAGTTCTCAACAATATTGTCAAGGGCTGCCAGAAATTCCCCTTGTAGTCTCCCCTAGGCAGAGGGCCTTTAGAAGGGTATGAAAGTGAGGACAACAAAACAGGCATTGGGGAGGAGAGGGATGGTGGGCAGAGGGGCATTTCCAATGAATGGGGTTTCACTCCTTTCCCTGGTTGGTCAACATCACAGGCCCACAGAATGCTGGAGCTGGAATATATCCAAGGCCAGAGTGTTGACACTATTTTAGAGAGCAGAAAACCTGGGCTCAGAGTGACCAGTTGGCGTGCCAGGGAGTAATGAAGTTTGTGGTAGAGCCAGCATAACACCTGGGTCTTCTGACAGGTTTAGGGAATATCTTGACGGTTTAGCTTACAAGTTTTAGAAAATACAGTGCTTAGTTCTGGTTTGAACTTGTTCATGGACTTTGGAGACCAAATCTAGCTCATGATTCAGAAGGAGATATTAGGGTTGCAAATCAATGCAACTCAGCTTCACGATTTAGCTCCAGTGCTGAGGAGAGCATCTGAGGGCTGGGGAGTCTGGCTGCGGGTCAACACCACTCAGGCCTGAGAAGGCTGAGTCCCACCACCCTGGAGGTGGTGAGGAGGAAGGACGAGGACTTAGGCAGCAGCTGCTCTGAGGGTAGGTGGGGAAATGGCAGAGCAAAGTCTCAGGGACAGGGCACCTGAGGTCTACCAGCCTTAAAGCCTCAGTCTCAGGGTAGAGGAGGAAAGCCAAGTGGCAGCACAGTCCTGATGGAAGGCTCAGCTGGTGTCATTGATGGGGGTCTGGGTGCCACCCAGGAGTCTCTCATGTTCGCCCTCCTCTGCTGGGGCCCGGCTCCGAGACAGACGGCTTAGCAGTGGGCGGTGCAGCCCATTGTACAGGGCAGTGCCTGTCAAGAGGATGAGGAAGCCGAGGATCTGCAGGGAGTGGAAGGTCTCCCAGCCCAGCACTAGGCTCAGGGCCCAGATGACCACAGTACGCATGCTGTCCAGCACCATGCGGGTGGTAGCGCTCAGTTCCTTGGTGACACTGATGCCAGCAAAGTTGAAGAAGGCAATGCTGCTGATGTTGCCCAGCAGTGCCAGGGCGATGAGTGGTTGCCGGCCCACCTGGCAGAAGGCATCCAATGCATCCTCCAGCGACTTGCGAGGGTTCCCACTGAAGGAGCCAGCAGGGATGTAGTACATGGGCACTAGCAGCAGTGAGAGGATCACGAAGCCAAAGAGGCCTGTGGGAGTGGAGGGAGGGCAGCACGTCACTCTCCATCCCCTCCCCAGACTCTGGCAATGCCCTACCTAAGTTCTGGTCATTCCTTCCGAGCAGCTCTCATACCGCAGGTCCTTCCTTTCAGGGCCCCCACCCACTCCTAGAACCAGTCCCCCATCACCTCCCCTCAGGAACTTACAATGGCTCAGTTAATGGCTCTAGCTGCCCCTCTCTCCACTTTAATCCAGGTTTTTTTTTTTTTTTTCTTAACTGGACCTTTCATCCCCTCGCCCCTCACTCTTGCTGCTCCCTGGGGTTTCACTCCACGTGCCTCCCCCAGAGTAAGAACTATATTTTAATAATCTAGAATACATGTATGCCAGCCTACGTATGTGCACACACTTTAACAAAAGAATTTCCACATGATAATAGCTACCCTGACCATGCACAAAGGTCTCTGACGTTTTCTAATCGATTCTATTCACTAAAAAACAATTAGTACACTGCTTTCACAAGTTTGGAAAAATAGCTCTCTATTCAGTGAGTGCAACTGGTCCGTGACTGGAAGCTTGTGCCAGGATGAACATCAATACACTGCTTTGCTCATACAGTCTTGCTAAGAAAAAAGAAAAAGTAATGGAAACACACAGTCCATTTAGTGACGTGGTTGATTTAGCTGATGTACATTCTGTGAAGGCTCCATATCTCACTGTGAATCAGTAACAAACAGCTCCTCGATGGACAGGCATTGTTCATGGACCACACTTAGGTATCACTGTAGTTTCCATCTTTTAAAGCATAATTTTGATAGTCCCTTCCCTGCTCAAACGTCAGTAATTCCTCCCTGCTTGTTATTTAAAGTTGATCACCCCCTTGCCGGATCTTCCTGCCTAGTTTCTGATTACTTGCCCAACATCAAATCTTTATCTCACCTAAACTGTATTCCTCACTGGTTCCCAAACTCATACCCAGATCTCCATGTCTGCTGTCTGGAGTCCCCTGCTCCCCACCCTTGCCCGCTGAAATCCACAGCTCGAATGCCATCTTCCCTGCCCCAAGAGACTTGGATATGCCTGGCAAGTGACACGGCACCTGAGCACAAGTGGTCCCAGCTAAAGTGCACTGTCTGGCCCTTTCCTGTTGCTGGTCAACTCCAGACAGGGGCTGACATCTCACTCACCTCCATGCTCTTCCTACCTTAGCAGCTGGCCCAGTGCACAACAGGTGCCAGTATTTGCTGATCCTTATCTGAAGGGAGGAAAAAATGGAGGCAGGGGCCCCACCCCCTTTCATCCCCTCGCCCCTCACTCTGTGCTGCTCCCTGGGGTTTCACTCCACGTGCCTCCCCCAGCACTCCCTCCCCAGCCCCCATACCCACACACCTTCGGTGCCAACTGCCCGGAGTGGGTGCACGTTGTGTTTGTAGACGAACTTCTCCTCTAGCACCATCTGGATGGCGACGATGATCTGGGCCATGATGATCAGCAGGTCCCCTGTGGGGAAGGAGGCTAGGGTGAGGCCAGGGCTATACTGAGGCTGGGAGAGAGGGAGGCAGGCACAGGGCTGGCAGCTGGGTGATGAGCCCAAGCAGGGGAAACAGCTCCCACAGGGATCTAACACCACACAAAGCCCTGACCTTTGCAGGGCACCACGCTGTTCAATAGCACAGTCACTCACCCTGCGCCAAATCTCCTTGTCCCTGAGGGGGAGGCCCTGTCACCTGTTTCTCTTATGGAGAGGGTGAGGGTCCAGAGGTTGCCCTCCCTACCTGTGAGCTCACAGAGGGGGAAGCAGGTCTTTTAGGAAGCAACAGGCTTTGAGATGGACATTTCTGGCTTAATCCTGCCTCTGAGTGACCCAGGGGCTGAGGCTGCAATGCTTCCCTCCTGGGACTGTGAGAATGCACAGTGCTTAGTGCAAATGGTAAGTACTCAATACATTCTATGCTATTTCTTTTCTTCTCCCCAATCCTGCACAATCTGTGTGCATGTATGGGTCACAACACAATCGACCAACTCCTTGTCATACCCGTTCTTTATACAGGTATGACAAGGAGTTGTGCTCTCTTGTGCTCCTTGTCACTCTCTTCCTTGGCGCAGCTCTATCCCTCTCTGGTCTCCCCTACACTGTCCTGGTCACTTGGATACCTGGTGCCTGCCCAAATCATCTCTCCACCACAAGCCCCCTCCCAGGGCCTGACACACGTCAAGCATGGCAACAGTTGAATGACTTGGTGTAGGGCTCCCAGGAAGACCGACAGGATGGGGTCCTCTGGGCCCTGAGCCTGGGCCGCACCTGTGATCACTTCGCTGAGCTTGTGCTGATCATTGTGCTTGCTCAAGAGGTCGGCGAGGCCCACGACCACCAGCCCTGCGATGGTGGCAAGGATGCCCAGCCACTGGCTCAGTGCTAGCCTCCGCCCCAGGAAGGCCACTGATAATAGGCCTGTGAATATGATGACTGCTCCCCGCAGCATCTGGAAGCTGGAGGCACTGGTCATGTTCAGAGCTAGGAGGAAGGGAGAGATGCATGACTGTTAGCTCCAGAGGACAGGGCCTGTTTGCTCACGGAGGTGTCCTCAGTGCTAAAGACATGCCTAGCACATAGGAAGTGCTCAATAAATCTTTGCTGAATGAATACATATACGTGCGTGTATGTGAGAATGTATGTAGGGGAGGGGCATGGGTAGGGGGAAGAAGACATGTGGTGGCAGTTTCACCTATGGGTCCCATGAGCCCTTCCCAGCCTGGCCTGGTACTCACCTACATACATAATACTGGTCCCAGTCATGTCACAGAGGGCTGGGGGCAGGAAAAGTAGAGGGTTGAAGGACTGCTGGGGGTTCACGCTGGAATCTGAGTGTCCCTCAGCTCGACACCGGAGGAGGTAGAAGGCAGCCAGGCAGGAGAACTCTCCCAGGAACATGCCCACTGCCTGCAGGGAAGAGACCCTAGGGTTTTAATGCTGGAAGGGACCTGGGGAATCAATCTTCACAATTTTTTTTTTTTTTTTTTGGAGGGGTAGGGGCACCAAAACCTTTCTTCAAACCAGAGTTTACCTAGAAGCCCAACATGTAAACAGACAAAAGTAGAGCTGCTGTGGGAGTTGAGACGGGCCTCCTAGGTCTACCCTAACCTCCTGAAACACTGTGACAGAAACCCGAAGGTTGTGTAGAACCCTGCTTGAAAACATCAATCTAGGGTCACTTCCAGTCAAGTTCCAGATGGGAAAACTGAGGGCCAAAGAGGTTGAAAGACTTACTCAAGGTCACAAAGCAAGCTGCCGGCAGAGCTGAGGCTAAAATTTCAGTCTCCCAATTCCCAGGCTAGGTCTGAGGTCTCTTCCATATATGGTGTCTGTTTTGTCCCAGATGGGGTCTGGGTTCCCAGTGGATGAAGAGGGGCAGGCTTCTGCTCCCGGGGTTGATGTTTTCTTAATGTGTTCGACTTAGATGTGGTGACGGCTGGCCTCTCAGTGGCCAAAGCATGACCATGACTAGGGCTCCCATAGCCTCCTACACAGGATTGTGCCTCTGCCTCCTTCCAGGGGCCAACTCTGCCCTTAGCCTGTTGTGGGGAGCTAGAGAGAGAAGTGGATGCCTCTTTGGGGAACAGAGGAGGCTCTGTCCCTGGGTCAGGAAACAGCATCATCTCCCAGGTCTGAGGTGTGAGAGACAGGAGGTGGGAGGGATGGGGCAGGTACCTGGAGGAAGGGATGTTGGAAGCTGTGTTCCTTGCTCCCTCCACAGCCCTCAGCCACAAAGTTGTCTGCCCACCTGCAGCAGAGAGGGAGAAAGTTAACCTTGGAAGTATGGCAGGACTGGAGAACCTGGTGCTTGCCGTAGAACCTTGCCCCCCTCCATGCCAAGAGGCATAAATTCTTTGATGACCCGGCCCCGGAGTGGGGCTCTCTCTAAAAGAAGTCAGTCTCTATACAAGGAGTCTTAGAGTGGGACCCATAGTCAGAATGTAGGGGGCTGGGGCCCTTCATTTCCACTAACCTCTCAGTGAAATTTAGGATTTCCTCTAAGCAGTACTACACTCCCGGTGACTTCATCATGTACAGAAATCACAGACAACCGCATTATCACATTAGAGTTGTTGCAGATATTGTAAAATGTCTTTTATACTCATCACTAACTACTTCAAAATTTCAGTAGACTCAACGCTTATAATTTAATGTGTTAAGATGCATATATATATATATATATATATATATATATATATATATATATATATATGTACATATATATATATTACTATGTCACAATTTTCTTTTTTAAACGTTTTAATATTTATTTCAGTAACTGGCTTCTTTCATAATCCTGTCTTTTATTTATGCATTTTAAAACATTAAGAAGGTCTACAGGCTTCACCAGACCACCAAAGGGATCCCTGGCACAAAAATAGCAAGAGCCCTGGTCTGTGGGGATACTCAGGCCCTGGGAAGTGGCCACCTGCTGCAGACCACCTGGTCATTTCACGTAACCTGAGCTGTTCGGAAGGTTTTACTAACGCCGATTCTGAAGCTGGGTGGCCAACACTTAGACCTACTGGCGCACCCTCTGCTGCAGTGCCCAGCAGATGGAGACGCTGGTGTAGCGCTTCAGCAGCTCCTACCCATCATTCCAAACCACCTGCCATCTGTGCACTAAAGCGCCCTCCCCTGAATTTCATTTTTGCTAGGCTTAGTTCTGCTCTCTGGAGTCCAGGCTACTCCCTCTTTCATTTGAAAGCCCTTCCGATATTTGCAGGCTTTTTAACCTTCTTCTGAATCGTCTCATTTTCTGGTGAAACAGCCCCAGCCCATCCTTGCTTTTCACTCTCCTGGCTGCTGACTTCTGGAAGCACACTGGAGGGCCCAGGCCCAGAGCCCTGCCTGTGTGATCTGGCCCCGACTGAGTTTGGCAAGACCATGGCCCCTCCCTTGCCTTAGGCCTAAGGCCGACATTTTGCCTTAGCTGACTAAGCTCTGACGGTGCTAGCCACATTACACTGCTGACGCAAGTCAAACTTGTTGTCAACAAAGACCCAGAGTCATTTCCTGTGGGTCACTGACTTGCTCTGACTGTGCCACCCAAACGTCATAGGGAGTGGATGTCTCTGAAGTGCAGGACTCGGGACTTCCTCTTATTAAATATTTTTCTTTGGTAGTTTCAAGAGCAGCCACAGTGTAGTGCACAACGCTATGCTACTGGCTTCCCTCTGTGACAAAGCTGAGCTCTCCAAGGACCAGGGCTGCCTTCTGTTCACTGGGTCTGTCCCAGCAATACATAGCGGGGGCTAGGTGGTGCTAAGCAGTTATGTTCTGGGTTTGACAAAGATCTTGTAGAGCTCTGGCTTCTTTGTGCTAGAGTTTAGGAGGGGAACAGGGTGCGTGCTCTTCTTCATATCATAGGCAAGGGCACGATGGCAGGACGCTGGAAGTGGGGAGGGCCAGATCACGGTGCTGGGGCTCCTGGGTAACTGTAATGGCACCCCAGGCTTCTGAGGGAGTGGCCAGATCTACTCAGAGATCTGAACATATCCCAGGGCAAGAGAAGAAAACAGGGCTGTGGACAATCTATCCCACACTGGGAGACCCCATCTGCTCCTGGACATATGGAGAAAGGGGGGGCAGTCAGGAAGGCTTGTGGTCCTTGAGAATGGTAGGGCCAAAGTAGAGTTGAACAAAGAGATGTTCCAATATGACGGCCTGGGAAGTCAGAAATCTGGCAGCATGCCTGGGTCAGGGGACCTGGCTGTAAGCACTCTGTCTTCACTAGGCAAGAAAAGCAGCCCCCACTACAGACCAGAAACCACTCTCTCTTGGGCGTCATGCATGTGCCTAATATGTTGCAGCCTCTGGCTCTTAGATCCTGTGCAGGACAGGACATGAGACATGGATACAGACCACAGACCAACTGTATGGCTCAGCAGGCAGACTTGCTCTAGAATCCTGGCTTGTTTCTGTAGAAAGAACCCTCTGGGAGAGCTCAGGAGAGGCAACTCAGCAAAACAGAGAAGTGAGGATGAGTGCAAAGGTCATGCTTCAGCAAGGGCACAGAGCCAGCCTTAGCAAGTGGCCAATGAACAGGCACAGGCCAACTGCCCAGGAGCAAGTGAGCAAGTCAGAGATGGGAATTCCAGGGCTGATGCCAGGGCTCCTCAAGGAAGGACAAGGGAAGTGCCTGAGAAATCTGTGACAGTCAACTGGAAGTCCAAGGCAAGGACTACTTTCCTTTTGTGGGGTGGGGCAGGCATGGATGCCATTTCCTCATCCCAGTGCCATACTCAGAGCAGACTGGTAGTGGTGCCACCAACCGCACCACACTCTAAGCAGCTTACAGTAACAACTCAAACCTGTATGGCCTTCTGGTTCCATATTCACTGTCATTTGAGACAGCATGACCTCAGCACCCAACTCCATCCACAGCTCTCTATTGCCTACTTCTGGCACATAATAGACACTCAAAACATATCGGTTGAATGAATGTGACCTCCAGGCCCATACTACAGGCCAGAGGCAATGTTTCCAGAAGCCCTACTTCCTAGCCTGATGTGAGGCGCCCCCTGTTTGTGGAACACACTGGGCCCAAGGGGGGCTGTGCTGCCTCTGGGTTTGGGTGCTTTGGGGGAGCACTGACCATAGGGCTGGTCCTGCCTGTCCCTTCCCCTGGCAATCTGGGAGGTCTCTGCTTACTTCACAAGGTGGTTCTGCTTAAACAGGCTGGAGGGCTAGAAGAAACGCTGGCAGTGCTCCCAGTTGGTGAAAGAGGATCCCCTTGTAGCTGAGGGCCTGGGGCAGGCCCACTGCTTAGAGGATTGAGTTTCAGCAAGTTGGGCTACCCTACCCAGCAGGGTCTGGAGGAGAAGATGGGACTCAGGCACCTTGGGGCAACAGGAGGTCAGGTTTCTGGTGTTGGTCCTGCATAGGTTTAGGCTCATTATGAAGGCATGGAAAGACCACAGCCTTACAGAAAGAAACCTAATGCCATCGAGTCAATTCTGACTCACAGTGGACCTATGGAATGGAAATGAATTGCCCCATAGGGTATCTAAGGCTGAATCTTTGTGGAAACAGACTGTGTATCTTTCTCCTGTAGAGCAATTGCTGGGTTTAAACTGCTGACCTTGTGGTTAGCAGCCAAGTGCTCAAGCACTGCACCACCAATCTTACAGAAGGAGAAGCAAAACATAGCCATTTATCTGGGTATGATAGCAGCATTCCTTAAGGTGGGATAGCACTTTGCTGTTTACAGAGCATTTCACAAACAAACATGTTTTTGTAGATGCAAAATTTACTGAGCACAGCCTTTGTGTCAGGTGCCACAGCATGTCTCATTTCAACCTCCTAACAATGATCTTCCTTTTATAGGAAAGGATGCCTGAGGTTCAGGAACATTTGGTCAACAATGGGCAGCTCCAGGGCTAAAGTCCAAGTCTGCTTGAGTCTAAGTTCAGAAAAGTCAGCAGAAACATGGAAAATCAGACTTTGGAATCACACAGACTAGACAAGGTATAGTTTTCTCATCTGTAAAATGGGGATGATGATGACAGAATTGATAAGAGTTATAAATAATATAAGATACATCAGATCTGGCATGTAGCAGACAGTCAATAAAAGTTCTTTTCTGCCTCTTCTCCCCTTTTCCCCCTCCCTGAGCAGGAGCCATCACCCCCGGGGTCAGTTTGGCCCCAGCTCTGGCTCAAAGCATGCTGCTCCACTCTGAAGTTCCTGGCTGAGGGTCCATTCTCTGGATCTTGAGGCAGAAGCTGCTGCAAGGGCCTCAGGGTAATTAATGCTCTTGCTGAACCAGTAGGAAAAAAAAAAGTCATTATCTCAAGAAACCCAAGGGACAAAAAGAGTTGAGGAACAATGGGCTTGTTAGGTGCAGACAGGGCGAGCACCTAGGATCTCAATATCCAATTCCATACCCTTTCCATGACACTTTCAAGTTCTCTTACTACCTTCTTACTCCAGATCCTTCTCCCTGCCCTGGTTGAGGTAAGGAGATGGTCTGCCCTGCAGCTGGACCTTTCATTTTCTGCAGATATTGTATCCTAGGGAAAAGTCATGGTCCCCAGGGCAGGAGGCCTGCTCCTTTCAGGTGGTCCCTGGGCCTGGGCAGGCTGGGGGATGGGCTCCCCTTGCTGGACAGTGAGTCACTCTCTGGTACAGCCTCTGCCCCGTTAAACTCAAAGCTCAGCATGTGCAGAGAGTTGCGTGGGTACATGTGTAGGCTGGGAGTAGCAGGCAGAGACTGAGGAAGTGGCTGATGTGGCTGGCTCAGACTGATTAGCTATATGTCCATTCCCTGCAGAATCTCTGCTCTGCCATTTCCTCTTGCCTCTCCAGCTCATCAAGCCCAGTGAGTCAGCTTCTACTGCAGTGGGATCTACAGAAGGGCCAGGCAGGCTCCACTCTTTGGAGTGTCACATTGCGTGGCCCTGGTTTACTGTGGTGATAAATAAGCCCTTTCACCTCTATGGATTAGAAAATCTTCCTCAGTAGAGCCTACACTGTGGCTGGGAACGAGGTGGGAAAGGGATTACCATCCTTATTTCCAATGATGAGGCTCAGAAAGGCCAAGTGACTGGTGTAACCCAAGTGCTTCCAAGCCTTGTGCTTCCTCCACTCTGTTACACTGCCTTCTTGGTTTATGGCTTTCTTGAGTTGGCCCAGAAACCCCTTTGAACCAACTCTCCCAGGCCAGCTCGCAGAATCCAAGGGTCGGGCAGCTGCCCAGGGCAAAAGAAAGAGCTGGCACAGAAAGGCACCAAAAGCCTCTTCCTGGATAGAAGCCCAGTGGTCCCAGGCCTCCTGCCACTTTGCTGGCAAGGTCTCTGACCTCTGTGGGGCCTGACTGCTGGAACAGGATGAGAAACTCACTCCCATGGCTCCTTCTTGGGTGGGTGGACCCCACAGTCTTCAGAGGCTTAGGAGGTGCTGAGCCTTACCCAGTGAGCATCTACATGACTGGCTCTTTTCCCAGTAGAATTCAATTGGGTTCTATCAAGAGAATGAGGCTCCAAACTGGCACAGCCCAATGTTGGACACTGGCTCCGGTGGACATCACTAAGCAGTGCAGGAAGAGAAGAAATGCTTTGGTCTCAATGAGATGTATCAGCAGAAGGTCCCAGGGAAGTGGAGAGAAAATACGCATAGAAAGGAGAAGCAGCCATTTCACAGGGAAGAGCCATTTGTCAAGGCCCAGAGATGGGAACAAAAGGCCAGCCTGAGGGTTGGCTTTTCCTTTGGCAGGCATGTGACCTCTGGTCCCGTCCCGCCAAGGCAGGACCCTTTCCCGGCAGCCAATCCAAATCTGCTGAGTGGGCACAGTGGCCTCTGAAGTGGAGATGTAATCTTTGCTCCCACTGTAGCAGGCAGCACATGCTCATGTGCATCCTCCCAAGGACCCTGGGAGGGAAATGTTGCTAAGCTCGTTTTACCAGACAAGGAACTGCAAGAGGCTTCTGGAGGCTCTGAATCTGAACCTCAGCTCCAGGGGAAAAACAAGCAGGATGACAGCAGGACCCTTGGGCTGGGACAAGTGAGGCTGCTGTTTAATGCCAGAAGAAGCGCAGCCTGCAGTCAGGGAGGATTATAACCACCAATACAGGCATGTCTGTGTTTCTCTAACAGAAGAGGGATTTCTAAGTACTGTAGTTTTATATGAACAGGACTGAGCTAAAGTCTAAGACCTGGGTTCTAATGCCAGCTCTGATATCAACCAGTTGAGTTATGAAAAGACACTCCTCTTGTGGCCACCTATAAATTATGGGAATCAGACTAGATAATGCCCATGTTCTAACAACTCTAAACACCCCGAATAATGACTGGAAGAGTCCCCAGCCTCACACCCCACTGGTGGTTAAGAGTATGGATTCTGGACACTTTGGTTCAGATATAAATTCTGCAATTTAGTAGCCAAATTGAATTTGGGCAAGTAGTTTAATTTTTCCATACTCGTTTCCTTATCCAGTGACAACGAGTATACCTACTTCATAAGGTTGTTATGAGCTTTCAGCAAGTTAACACATGAAAGGACCTGGCACACAGTATGTGTGTATCAGCCAGTCAGCAGTCAGCATTGGCACCCCATTCTTGTTTGTCTGAACCTACCGGAAACTGCAGGTCAGAAACGTGGTTTCAAATTGCCTATGCACACCGGTATGTACACAGCTGCTTTCCCCATGATTGTGCTGAGTGCCCTTCTCACAGTTTGGCCTTAAGACAGTATTAGGGTCTAATTCTGGGGCTCATCTTGGGGTGAGGATATTCCTGACAGGCCCCACACCAGGCTGAGGACAGAGGACAGGATCAAAGGTTGGATTTCCCACCTGGGAGCTTCTTTTCTTGCCTCTTTGGCAGGCCTCCTAGGGCAATGCCTCTGGCAAATGAGGATCCTCTGGTTTCCTACCAGATAGGTTTGGAGTCAGCACAGTTTACCCCTATAGTAATCCACAATCTCAACTCTCCTTGGGCCTAGCCAATCCTGGCAGACTTTTAGCCACTCTCTAAGCACCTGATTGAAGTTTTGGGTGGCAGAACAGATGTATGGAAGGCCTGCTGTGCCGTGTTCAGATTCTAACCAAGACGAGAGTCCTGAGATTGTGTCTCCTTTATAGCTAAGTGCTCAGCAAAAGCACCTGCAGGAAGGTACAGGCTCCAGGACACCACGCCTCTCCACGTGACACAGCTGATCAGGAAAACATAAAGCTCCACCAACTCTGCCCTCCCTTTGGGGAAGAGAGAACATTGTGATTGTCACATGTGTATGTATCTGTCTCCTTCACCTTAGAATGTGAGCATCTCAAGGACAGGGACCTTCTCTTGGTCACTTCTGTCTCTTTCCCTGAGCCTGGATGGTGTCTCACACACTCTAAGTACCTTATACCTGTCTGCTAAACTGAACTGAACACTTCTTTCTCAGACCTCTCTTCAGGAGTGTTTCTCCCATCACTGATGGAGTATGCTAGATACAAACACCTCAAAAATGGATAAGGCATGGCCCCTTCAAAAGGTGCACAGTCTCTCAAAGTGACTAACTCTCCCTGTGCCAGGGGCCTGGAGCACAGTCTGAGGGTGGGAAAGCTTCTGTTGGGAGTAACCACACCTGACTCCCCCTTGCTCTCTGGGTGGGAAGGACCCAGGTGGAAGTGAAGTGTGTCTGGGAAAGGGCCACTATCTGCTATTTTCCACATATACACTGGAATCAATTCTGAGAATGACCACACTCTGGGCACCAGGGCACTAAGAGGGTGAATTGAAGGGACAGGAAGACCTTGCCCTGAAGTGAAGGGCACAGAAAGAGATAGAGAGCTGCCAAAAGAAGGCGCTGTCTCCTGGGACTCCCAGCAAATTACAGACAGAAAGCTGTCTGTCCCTCAGTCTCATGGCAGTCTGGAGCCCTCAATCCCCAACCTCCTGAGGACTGTCCTCACTGTCCCACTAGTACCTCACCATCACATCAGAGCTGAACTGCTCAGTTGCCCTCCCTGTCTAGATTAATGACACTGTTCTCCCAGGCTAAAAGCCTGGAGTTATCATTGTCTCTTGATCCTGTGCATCGGGCCTACTGGCTTGCTTCTGTACCTTGTCTCTCCCACCAGTCCCTTCCAGTCCAGCCTCTCTGCCATCTCCTAGTTCACCTCATCACTACGCAGCAGCCTCAGAGTTGTTTTCCTTGCACCAAACTATTCTTCACGTTGACCACCAAGTTAATCATATTGTTTCCCTCCCCCGACCAACTACATCACTTCTAACATGTCATTCCTCTGCTCCATGACTCCCTCCAATTATGGGATAAAATCCCACACGTGGGAGCATTAAGTTTCTTGATGGTGTAGTGGTTAAGGCATTTGGCTGCTAACCCAAAAATCAGAGGTTCGAACCTATCAGATGCTCTGTGGAAGAATGATGGGGGCAGCCTGCTTCTGTAAAGATCTACAGCCTTGGAAACCCAATGGGGGTCACTAAGAGTCAAAATTCACTTGATGGCACTGAGTTTGGTTTTGGTTTGGGTTATAATCTGACTTAAATCTGGCCTTGGTCCCTGGCTCTATTTTACAGCAACGTAAGGAAATACAACCTAAGCTTTAAGGCCCTGTTCCAACCTCTTCTCCATGAGGCGCCCATGGGACACTCTCTACTCTGCCCCCGCAGCTCATCAGGCTCATTGGTCACTGGACCTGCACCGCCTCTATTGTAGTTCTTAGCTCATGTGCACTAATCTGGGAGCCTGTGTTCCTGGTTCACAGCTCGAGAAGGGCGGGGTTCAGGCGCAGATACCAATGTTAGGAGGGACTTGGAGAGAAACTGACCCAAACCTCGGGTTTAAAGGAGAGGAAACTGAGGCGAGAAGACGAGAAGTGACTCCCTGAGGTTAATCACATGCGACTCATAGCAACCCATCCTTGGGTTTCCAAGGTGGTATCTCTACAGAAGCAGATTGCCCAGTCTTCCTTCCGAGGAGTGGCTGGTGGGTTTGAACCACCATCCTTCTAGTTAGCAGTCAAATGCCTTAGGCACTACGCCACCAGAGCGCCTATTAATTACATTGTGTTGTTGGTGTTATGTGCCCTCGAGTCGGACCCCACTCACAGTGACCCCTCCTTGGGTTTCCGAGGCAGTATCACTACGGAAGTAGATTGCCCCATCTTCCTTCAGAGGAGTGGCTGGTGGGTTTGAACCGCGAGCCTTCTGGTTAGCAGTCAAGTGCCTTAGGCACTACGCTACCAGAGCTCCCCCATTAATTACATTAGCGAGTCAAAATCGGTGCTGGGCTAAAGCCGGGGTTCGTATCTCCCAGCCCAGAGCGCGGCCCATCTCATTTCCTCGGCCTCGGACTCTTTCGGTGGTAGGTCCATACTACGCATGAACAGATCCGAGAAACCGGGAGAGCCGGTGAAACGATGCTTTCATGGTTTTAGAGTTACTAAAACGAAGGACCAGGAGGGTGCGTGGGGGTCGCACGCGCAAGTTGCAGCGGGCCCAGCCAAGCCCCCTCTCCTCCCACGGCCGGGCCCAGACTCACTTTGCCGAGAGCGTGTTGATGGAGCCGGTGACGAGCATGAGCCCGGCTAAGAATAGCTGGTACTTGGTCCACGCCATGGCATCCGATGCGGGGTGTGCGAAGTAAACTGGACCCAGTGACCCCCGCGCTGGTTGGAATCTGCAATTCCCCACCCGATCACCCGGGGGTCTCTAGCTCAAGCGCTTCCGGGCGGGGTGTCACGTGATACAAGTGCCGGCCCCGCCCCACGCCGCCTCGCCCCGCCCCCTCGAGAGGGCGCCTTGCTCAGGCTCTGCCTTGCGGTGGTGGGCGAAGTACCGTGCCTAAACTATCTGGGGCAATTTGTCGCCAGGTCAGAGGGTAGAAGACGGGTGCCTAAGGTTGACTCTGAGTAGACACGAGCCATCGTTTCCCCTTTTGTAAAAGCGACTGATGAGACGATGCAATGAGGTGTAGATGTTAGAGCTTTCTTTGAAGCGTTCAGGGATTATTACTGGGAGACAGGCCCTTATGAGACGTTGAGCTGAAGGATGTCAGAGACATTAAAAAAAAAGGTGCATTGTGGTAATTTCCTCTTTACAGGGAACCAGGGATCCCAGCCCCACTGTTGCTGACATCTTTCAGAAAAGTGGAATTGGAACCTAATTCCATGTCCTATGGAGATAATTTTATAGCTGAAAAAATTATCAGTTAATGCTGAGTAGATTGCGACTCATGGTGACCCTATGTGTGTCAGAGTAGAACTGAACTCTACAGGGTTTTCAATGGCTGATTTTTTTTTTTTTAATAGTGATTTGGGTGAAAGTTTACAGAGAAAATTCACTTTCCATACAGCAGCTCACATACACTTAGTTTCATGACATTGATTACAATTTACAACAATGCAGCAGTGCCTCTCCCACTTTCTCCCCACAGCTGTCTCTTCCCTTGACCTTTCCTCCATGCACTCCTGCACCCTGAGCTGTCTCCCTGTGCATACACAGCCCTTCTATTCTCCCATGATTGTTCTCTTCAAGGAGTGTACCTACCCAGTGTAAATGTTCACCTCATATGCCTGTCTTTTGTTTGGTTGGAAGCCACAGGTGGTGGTTGTCGTTAGGTGCCGTCAAGTGGTGTCCAACTCATAGCGACCCTATGCACAGCAGAACGAAACACTACCTGGTCCGGTGCCAGCTCCATGATCCTTGCTATACTTGAGCCCATCATGGCAGCCACTGTGTCAATCCATCTCGTTGAGGACCTTCCCCTCTTTTGTTGACCCTCCACCTTACCAAGCATGACATCCTTCTCCAGGGAATGGTCCCTTCTGACAACATGACCAAAGTAGGTGAGACGAAGTCTGGCCATTCAGCTTCCAAGGAGCATTTTGGCTGTACTTCCTCCAGGATAGATCTATTAGTTCTTATAACAGTCCGCGGTACGTTCGGCATTCTTCGCCAGCACCACAACTCAAAAGCATCAATTCTTCTTTGGTTTTCCTTATTCATTGTCCAGCTCTCACATGCATACAAGGTGACTGAAAATATCACAGCCCTCGAGAGGGTGGCTTGCTCAGGCTCTGCGATGCAGTGGTGGGTGAAGTACGGTGCCTGCGCTCTACAAGACAATCTGTCACTGGGTCAGAGGGTAGAAGACGGGCACCTTGGTCCCTAAGGTTGACTGAGTAGACATGAGCCATCGTTTCCATGTTTGTAAAATTTGTCAATTTGAATAAAAGTGGGGCATCTGTTTGTGTCAGGCACACCTTAGTCCTCAAGGAGACATCTTGCTTCTCAGCACTTGAAAGAGGTCCCTTGCAGCCAACTTGCCCAGTGCTATACGTCATCTAATGTCCTGACTGCTGCTTCCATTGGCATTGATTGTAGAACCAAGCAATGTGAAGTCTTTGACAACTTCAATCTTCTCTCCATTTATCATGATGCTGCTTACAGGTCCAGTTGTGAGGAGTTTTGTTTTCTTTATATTGAGATGTAATCCATACCGCAGACTGTATTCTTCAATCTTCATCAGTAAGTGCCTCAAGTCATCCTCACTTTCAGCAAGCAAAGTTGTGTCATCAGCATAT